ACACGACCTCTACAACCACCCGCGCAAGCCTGTGCTCAAGGTATGCTGTAACCGCTTACCCAGACCAAGGCATGCTCTAATGTCTGCCTATATAGTCATTTGCCTACCAGGCAGACAAAGTCTTTGATCAGGGAGCAACCACGGAGGACGTGTACGACGATCTCGTGGCAGATCTGGTCCCTTACGCATGGAACGGGGGTATCGGCACGCTCTTCGCCTACGGTCAGACCGGCTCCGGCAAGACATTCACCGTTAGTCAACTCGAAGAGTTGGTCACCGAGTCTCTGCTCGAAAACAACCTTGACGGGGAGAGAGAAATCTACCTTACCATCATCGACCTCGCCGGAAATTCCGCCTTCGACTTGCTCCAATCAAGGAAACCCATTTCCGTCCTTGAGGACTCTTTTGGCGTGACACACTTGGCCGGCGCGGATGAACACCATGTGAAAAGCAAGGAGGAGGTGAGGACACTGATTGAACAGGCCGCATCCTTTCGTTTGTCGGCACCAACCCTGAGGAACGATGCTTCATCACGATCGCACGGCATCTGTCGCCTCCGCATCAAGAACACAGCGGACAACTCCGAAGGGATTCTATACCTGATCGATCTTGCTGGGTCAGAGGCAGCCCGTGACCGCTCTGCTCACGGTCTAGAACGTATGAAAGAATACAAGGAGATTAACATGAGTCTTTCGGTGCTGAAGGACTGTATCCGTGGCAGAGTCGAGGTCGACGTCATGTCCACCGAGGAGAAGAAACGGAGACGACCTCGCGTGCCTTTTCGGCAAAGTGCTTTGACCAGGATACTGAAGCATGTCTTCGACCCGGAGAGTGGCCAGGCGTGCAAAACGGTGGTTCTAGCTTGCGTCAACCCGAGTTTGGCCGATGTGAGCCCCAGCAAGAACACATTGCGATATGCCGAGACCTTGCGGGTTTTGCTGCCAGGGGTTGGTGAGACAACCGATGGTCCGAAGCCTCCCATGACGTGGACGAATGCGGAGCTGAAGGATTGGATCTCGAAGAATGTAAGAAAACGCCGTGATATCGGTAACAACACCGCAAGCATGCTGACAGTGTGCGTGAACAGTCTGGAACGCCCCCAATCTCACCAGAGTTTCTAGCTCCTACCGGCTCTGGTGCACGTCTCCTGCAATTGACGGCTTCCGAGTTCGAGAGCCGCTGCATGAAGACCCCTGGTGTCACTTTCGAGCAGGCAATGGCTTTCCGGTCGAAGCTGTGGCAGCTACATATCGACTCGAAGAAATCAAGGAACACGTCGACATCTACCCGGGCAACTGGCGCCATGTTTTCCAGCCGAGATCAAGATGCCACTAACGAGAAAGTCCCGTTCCAAAAACGGATTCGACCCGGTATGATTGTCAGTTGGGAGCCGTCAGCCGAGCAATGCTCAACCTTGGGTTTGGCGGACGGCCTGAAGCTAGCTGCGGTGCTCAGCCCTGAGAGTGTAGGGAACGACAATCCCGCTGGTGGTCAGCGGTATCGTTGTGCACTCGTCGCAGAAGGTGAACTGCCGGAGGCCTATGAGATTCATCTTTGGCGCCAGTTCGTCATAGATGCGGAGCAGATGGAGCAAGAGGCCATCCTCGAATATGATGTGCCCACGAGACAATATTTCATTGCAGTTTAGGGGACGTGGCGCTTGTCAAAGAGATTAAGGCAGACATTTTGTGAGAATCAACTTGAAATAGTTGAAGGATGTGAACTGATTTCGAAGCAAAAGTTGAGGATGTCGATGTCCAAATAACACATAGAATTATCTATGCGAAGAATGTGCAATACTGAATCTCACGGCTGACATCATTCGTTTCGTGGTTTGGTGTACACTTGAACCCTTCAGTTGGCGATGATAACATGTGCTGTAGGGTATCTTGGGAAAACATGGTCATGCGACTGTGACAAGGGGCCGCTGCAAGTTTGGACTAGCGCGTCTTGTGGGGCAACTTTAACGCACCAGAAGTGGGGCAATCCTCAAGAAGCGGCGGAATTTCTCACCGCCAAAATTTTCCCAGCGCAGCTTGCCTTGCCGACGGTTCGAAAGTTTAGTCCATTGGATTACCGAGCCTCATTCGTCTTCACATTTATACTCTCCCCACACGACAAGCATGGCTCCGGAAGGCAAGTCGAAGAAGCGAGCGCGACCGGCCAAGTCTGGCGAGTCGCGAACTCTCAAGAGGAAGGAACAACAAGAGTCCCTGGCGAAGCTCCAGAAGGCCGTCGACGAGTTAGACCCCAAATCCGCCGATATCCATAACTTCACCGACCTCCCATTGTCCGCCGCCACAGCAGCCGGCCTTCGAGCTTCGCATTTCGAGTCCCTGACCGACATCCAAGCGCGTGCTATTCCCCTTGCTCTGAAGGGCAAGGACATCCTCGGTGCCGCCAAGACCGGAAGCGGCAAGACGCTCGCTTTCCTTGTCCCGGTGCTGGAGTGTCTGTTTCGGCAACAATGGACGGAGTATGATGGGCTGGGTGCGCTGATTATTAGCCCGACCCGCGAGTTGGCCGTACAGATCTTCGAGGTATTACGACAAATCGGGCGCAAACATGTCTTTTCCGCGGGTCTGGTTATAGGCGGAAAGAGTCTGAAAGAGGAGGCAGAGCGATTGGGCCGGATGAACATTCTTGTCTGCACACCGGGTCGCATGCTGCAGCACTTGGACCAGACAGCTGGATTTGTGGTGGATAACCTGCAGATGCTGGTCCTCGACGAAGCCGACCGAATCATGGATATGGGTTTCAAGTCTGCGGTCGATGCGCTTGTAGAGCACTTGCCCAAGTCCAGACAGACGATGCTCTTCAGCGCAACCCAGAGCAAGAAGGTGTCGGACTTGGCACGACTGAGCTTGAAGGACCCGAAATACGTCTCTGTACACGAGGCTGCCGAGACCGCCACACCGAGCACCCTACAGCAACACTATATTGTGACGCCGCTACCGGAGAAATTGGATACGCTGTTTGGGTTCATAAAGTCGAATTTGAAGAGCAAGATCATTGTTTTCTTGTCGTCTGGAAAGCAAGTACGATTTGTGTATGAGGGCTTCAGGCATATGCAGCCAGGTATACCGCTGCTCCATCTTCACGGAAGGCAAAAGCAGATTGCTCGGCTGGGCATTACCGAGAGTTTCACCAAAGCGAAGCACGCGTGTTTATTTGCTACGGACGTTGTGGCCCGAGGAGTAGATTTCCCTGCTGTTGATTGGGTCATCCAAGCCGACTGTCCCGAAGATGCGGACACCTACATTCACAGAGTTGGAAGGACGGCGCGGTACCAGAGCGTAGGAAAGGCCGTGCTGTTTCTAGACCCGAGCGAGGAACCGGGCATGCTCAAGAGGCTAGAGCAGAAGAAGATTCCGATACAAAAAGTGCACGTGAAGGAGACCAAGAAGAAGAGCGTGGCTGACCAACTACAGAACATGTGCTTCCAGTATCCGGAGCTGAAGTATCTTGGCCAGAAAGCATTTATCAGTTATACCCGGTCCATCCACTTGCAGAAGGACAAGGAAGTCTTCCAGCTGAAGAAACTCGACCTCGACGGATTTGCCACGAGCATGGGTCTAGCGGGAACACCAAACATCAAATTCCAAAAGGGCGAAGACGTGAAGAGGATAAAGAACCGTTCTCGTGCCGAGCTATCGAGTGGTTCCGAAGACGAATTTGATGACGAGGGACACAAGAAGAAGAAGGATGAGGTTAGGACGAAGTACCAAAAGATGGCTGAGCGTGTCAACCAGGACGTTTTGTCCAGCCATTACCGGAAGATCATCGACGATGGCGACGCGGATGAAGATGCAGACTTCCTATCAGTCAAGCGTGTTCTTGGCGAGGACGAACTTGACGAGGCCGGTAAGGCTGGTGAAGCCGCCTTGGAAGCCAAGAAGATCCAACTCGGCAAGCAAGAATTCATCGTTGATTCACATAGGAGGGAGAAATTGCTCAAGAGCAAGAAGAAGCTACTCAAGTACATGGACAAGGGACAGAAACTCGTGTTCGATGACGACGGCAACGCGCATGCCATCTACGAGCTGCAAGACGAGGATGAGTTCAAGGCACAGGGTCCCGTGGACGAACTCAGGAGACAGTTCGTCGAACAAGAGGCCTCTAAGGTCAAGGAGGTGGACCTGGAAGATAAGCAGCTTGCCAAGGAGAAGAGGAAGGAGAAGCGCGCCAAGCGGAAAGAGAGAGAGCGGGAGGAAGAGTTGGAGAGGCAAGGCATGCGGGGTGAAAAGGGTCCTGTCGCACAGCTTGCTGGTGGTGAGGCTGAGGAGGATCCATTGGCTCTGCTCAGGAGTCTACCCATCGCTGGTGGGAGGGATGATGACAGCGAGGAGGACAGCGAGGATGAGAGGCCGAAGAAGAAGGCCAAGAAATGGTTCCAGGATGACTCAGACGATGAGCGGGAGAAGGCTAAGAAGGCCAAGAAGGAGATCGTCATGGATAGGGAGCCAGAAACGCTGGAGGATCTCGAGTCACTGGCTGCTGGTCTCTTGGGGAACTGAGGTAGCAGTGAAGCCAAGGGAGCTGTGTGGTTTACTTAGAAATACCCTTGTCAAAGGTGGTTGTATAGCATTGCATGGCGTAATCGGAACATGTTTCGCGTATGCTTCTTCAGCCATAGAGCACTTGTGAAGCTGCCATGACACTAAACAGTAAAAAGTGAGCCACTCCTGGAGCCCATAACAATGCAGATTACGCGCAAAAATAGAACACCGACAAAGGCAGGATTTGAACCTACGCGGCCGAAGCCATATGATTTCTAGTCATACCCATTAACCACTCTGGCACTTTGCCCTTTGGTGTTTGTGGTTGGCTAACCGCGAAGGGTCATGACACTAGCGGTCATGACTCGGGACTGGGGTTGGTGTCAACGGTGTGTTACTCCAGGTCGCAAATTTACTGATTGACTCTATTCATGAACTTCGGTTTTACCGTCTCCAACCTGAAAGTCAACAAACTGGAGAGAGGGATTCTCCCAAAAAGGTTGCCCCGTCTCGGATTCGAACCGAGGATGCCTGCACTGGTGATTGCTTCATGCGACCTACGACCACATCTTCGAGGGGCAGGAGTGCTACCACTATACCAACGGGGCCCTGTTGTTGGTAGGCTGTCAGGTTAGTGTTGGTTATATACCTTGACCGGGTGCCGACTTGTGGTGATCTTGTCATGAGTAAGGTCCCCGGCTGGGGAGGAGGAGCCACACGGAAATTGGGCCATGACACGAAAGAGTGAAAGGACTGGGTACCTTTCATTGTTCCTATCTATCCGTCCACCGAGATACCGTGAAACCCATAACGCCAGAGGCACCCCATGCCGAGGGTATCAAGAGCCTGAAACGCCACGCCTAATCCATCCATGTCCATGAATGCTTGCTTCTGAAAATAGAAATCAACGCCCAGCAATCCATCCCCTTGTCAGCTCCAACTCCCCTTTTCGTCCTTGTATCTCTCTCTCTCACTCTAGCCATCAAAAGAGCTCCTCCTTAGCTGTGCCGTAAAACCTCACGCGGTAGAAACAGGTGTGATTCGCGCCATGATTCGTCGCTGCCCGGATCAAGACCTGATCGGTCGTGATATCCATCTTGGCCAACTCCTCGGAGAACCGGTACACCTGGACTCCATTCGTGGCACGATCATGCTCGTAAGTAAAGGCGCCAACCTGAAGGAATCCACGCAGGAGTTGAGGTTGGTTAAAGTTTTTGTCCGTGCCCGGGAACTGGACTCCCATGAAATCTAGCACCCGTTCACGGCGTGAATGTTCCTCCACGTTGACCCAGACCTCGATGTCCTTGGGCATGGAGGCCGGATCGAGGGTGGCGTCGGGGTCGATGTGTTCGACAACCAAGACCTCGGGAATGACCGTCTCTGGAAGCTTGATGACGATGTCGACGGGATTGTCGCGACTGGTGGGAATCGTCTTCTTGGAGCGGTGGTTGGTCTCGCCATAGAAGTCAACCTCCCTTCCTCCGCCGCACCAGCACTGGCCTGCATCATCCCAGTTGATGAGAACCGAGAAGTGTTCGTTGGAGAAGCGAGGCGCCAGTTGATTAGTCCAGTCTAATGAGCCGAACTCACTAGACTTTCGCGGTGGGTTCCATGTCGGCGAGGTAAGACTCATGTCAATGATCGCGCCGTTGCCCAGCGTGAAGTAGTTGATGCGGCGACTAAGCTCATCTTCTAGGTTGGAGATGATGTTCCCCTTGGCGCCAGCCTGGAGTCGAGCCCTACTGATAGCCTTGCCCACAGCATCGTTGACCAGAGTCGTGACCTCGTCGCGCGACAGTCCGCCAGCATTGGAGGACTCGGCTGCCTTGTAGGCTGCCACAACCGTAGCTCGAAGTTTGTCTCGCACTTCCCTCAGTTCCGAATCAACCTCTTTCTTGTGAGCACTTAGGCTCTTCTCAACCTCACGGATAAACTCCTGCCTCGTCACAACGATGTCTCGCAGGCCCTTATCAGAGAGTTTGTCGCGGATGAGTTTCTCCATCTTCTTCTCGTCCATAGAACCCGATGACTGGCCTGGATATCCGTCCAGGAGCTCCTGAACCTTACCACGGTTGTTCTTGAGCCACTTCTCCCAAGATGCCTCAGTCTGAAAACCTTCAGACTTGAGCCGTTTCAGCATTGCCATCCAATGCTGGTTGGAAATGTCATTGTTCTCATTTAGAGTAAGAATGGAGGTTTCCGCGTGCATCCGGTCTTTCAGGGCGTGCCAGAAGTCTTGTCCAATGACCAGTTTGCTAGTCTTCTTATCTCGTCTGACGGAAACGACCTTGGGAAGAATCTCCTCGAGCTTCTTGGTTGTATGGTGAATGTCATTGTTGTCGTCCATCAGGTCCTTGATCCTGTACCCGTGCTCAGTCACGACATTCCGAAGGGCACTGTACTCTTCATCCGTCAAGAAGCCAAGAGGTTGTTGGATGGCATTGGGCACGAACTGTCCAATGTTGCGACCCATATGGCTGAAACCATACCACTGGACTCCACGGCCAATGCGAGCTTCCTCCCATTCGGCACTTCCTGCACGGTTCCAGATCTGTAGCACAGCCAGGGCAGCAACCAGATAGACAAACCACCGTAGCAAGCGCCAGAGCAAGGTGCGGGACTTTCGAAGATTGTTCCATGCTCCTCGCAATGTATCGTGAGGGCCGGTAGGCGTCCTTCGATCCTCGGGAGGTGGTGGCGGGGATGGTGCCTTGAGCCGTGGATTTTGACTTGCCCCACGACGACGTGACTGAGGCGCTGGCTGAGGAACTGGCTGAGGTGGTGGTTGAGATGCTGACTGAGATGACGGCGCCGCGCCATTTGCACGAGGCCGTAGGGTTTGAGAAGGCTTTGCCTGCTTGCCTGTTTGCGAGACTGACTGAGGAGCTGCCTGAGAGCCTGGGCGCAAAGCCGAGACAGGGGAAGAAGATCGATCCTCGTGCAGAGTATGCTCGTGGTCGGAGACAGACTTCTGTTGCTGCGTAGGACCAGTTCCGGCGAATGGATTAGGGCTTTGTCCTATAAGTACTCCTTGTCCTAGTCCGTTCCCATTTGACTGCCGTGCTGACTCTGCCAACACAACTGGTGCCTCTGGCGGACGACTTGGGCCGGCTGTGGAACTCGAAGCCTCATGCTCCCACGACTGACCTCGATGTCCTACGTAACCGGTTGGACTTGGAGAATCTCGCCCTATGCTTCTTCTCCACTCCTGCAACTCTGCCGTTGACATTGCAGCATTTCCGGATCTCGGCGGATAAGGAGATGGATTAATCTCGAACCGGTTGGACAATGGATCGGAGAGCGCCACCGACACTGGCTTGTCTCCAAGCATAGCTGGCAGGTGGGTGGAATATGGAGCGTCACCCATGTCGGACGTTGCTGTTGGTGAAACCGAAATCAGAAACCGCGTGTCCTTGCTGATGCGCTCTTCTTGCATGTAACTCTTATCCGACAAGTCTGTGTGGTCAGTTCGGTTGCTCTGGACTGTGGCTGGTGCTCCGTTGGAACCGGACGGCTGTCGTGGGGTTTCATCCACCTTTTGCCTTTTGTGCGATCCAAAAAGTTCCTCCAGTAGCTCTTCTGGGGGGCGCTTGGAGGTCTTAGGAAGTTGCGTGTTGTCGCTTGCGCTGCCGGCGAAGGCACTGTGAGTCCCTGGCTGATTCTGGGTGATATTGTTGGCTGCTCGCTGACGTATGCTATCTTCCATGGCCTGTGCCTGTCTCTCGGCGGCTTCCTGTTCATATCTTCTTTGTCGTGCTTCTTGAGTGTCCGGCTCGACTGCTCCAGAGTCTTCTTCAGACTCAATTCCAGAGTCCTCCTCAAGCTGCTGCCTGGCTTCCTGTTCGGCTTCCTGGCGTTGGCGTTCCTCTGATTCTCGTTGACGGCGTTCTTCTGCTTCCCGTTGCCGACGCGATTCAGCTTGGCGTTGTTGGCGCTCCTCAGCTTCGCGTTGGCGCTCTTTAGCTTCGCGTTGCAGACGTTGTTGATCTTCGCCTCCTTCGTCTTCTCCATCAGAATCTCCACTGGAATCCCTGCCTGATTCGCCCCCTGCGGGCTGTTGATGTCTTCCACCTGCTTTGCTCTCCTGGGGCTTGGTAGCCATCCTCTCGGCACTTTCCGTCTGATCGGCCTTCCGTTCACTTTCCTTCAACTGTCTAGCCCGTCTCGCCTGCTGTCGCTCTAGTTGGGGTTGCGGCTCCGCGGCCGGTCGTGAGAGCTCGTCCTCATCATTAGCACCATCATCATCCTCCGCCTCCTCCTCAATCCGGTCCGTCCGTTTTCGCGCGGACCTTCTCCCCTTGCCTTTGCCCTTGTCGACAGCAGCTTTTTTCGCTGCTCTGGCCGCCTCATCCTGTTTGCCATGGTCTACAAGAGTCTTGAGAATGTTGGACACCGCAACGCTTTGGTTTACGGGATGTCCAAATGCAGTAGGACCCTGAACGGACATGGGACTGCCGTAACCTACAGCGACTCTATTTGTTGAACCCGGCATGGACGCATGAGCAGCCATTGTCTCTGCTGCTGCAGCTTTGCTCTTCTTCGTTGACCTTGGAGCGCTGGCTCTTCCCGTTCGGGATTGCGTTGACGGCTGGCCGGCGACACTGTGGGGTCCCGGCTTGGTCCTTCCTTTTTTGGGCGGCGGTGATGGTACTTGGGTGTCACTCTCGGCAACTGAGACCGACCTAGCTCTTTGTTTGGTTTGCAATCGCGTTGATCTTGATGGCGGAGCGTCGTCTTGCGATTCAGCGACCGACGCAGTCGAAACACTTGCTTGACGCGTAGATCTCCTGGGAGGCATCACAGCAGACTCTTGGTTTTATGGAGGGTGCGATGTGAAGCTCTGAGCCAGCAAAATGGGTGCAAAAAAAGTGTGATCTGAAACAGACAGTTAGTGAGATGTGAGATGTCGCGATATGAAGATATGAGTTTCTGATAGGCGCCGCCAAAGGAATGAACACCATGGAAGAGAGAATCTGGATAGGTTGAAAGATAAATAATATTTGCAAACGGCACAACTACCTGAAGTGAAATGCGCTTGTCTTTGTGTTTCTTGCAACCATAGACTCTGACTTCGATAGGCAATTGGAGGACCCCAGTCTGTTGAGAGAGATGGAGGATAGTCACTTACAGAATTTGATGGTTTTCAGGAAGCGGCTTCTGAAGCAAAATGCTATGATACTGGAGGAGTAGGATCTGATTGTCTCACGATCAAAAGTGAAAGCTTCGGGCGGCGCATGGAGGGAAACGGGCAAAGCGAACAACGTGAAAAAGAAATTGACCTGGGCGACTGCATGTCTATTTGTTGTTTCCTTTCCTCATAAACCCTCCAATGGTCGTTACTGGCAGGGACGGTCGGCTTTGTGCATCTCTTTCATCGATATCCATTGTCGCCTTTCACGACACGCCTTAGGGATGCTTCAACAAACGCGTTGGACGTTTGCGGTCAAGCGGTTGCCAGCCACGTTAAGCACGAGCCACTTGCGACTCTTTCTGATTGGTCAACGGCAAAACTTCTAGCTCAGACATCAAGAACACCTTTGCCAATCAGATGTCAGTACCTAGCTCAGAATCAGTTGAGACAGGTACGTAGCTGAAGCTTCCAAGTTTC